ACGCCGTAAGAAATGGTAGAAGGTGTATTGGATGCCACTGTAGACTGATGAGCCCAGCGCAAGATCCGGAGGACGAGAGAAACCGGTGGACAAAAAGCAGCCCTTTCTGTTCTCCAGCCCTCGGAGGATATATGCCCCGTATTACTGCTTCATACTAGCCAGCTCAGCCTCTTGATTCTGCCTCTTGTTTCTGAACTCTGACAAACATAGGGAATCGCCGGTCTCCGTTCCTTAGCAGGACAGAAGGATCCCTGGGCCTGGATGTTTCTGGCAAACTGTCCCCAACACACATTCATATTTGTGGGTTTCCATCACCCCTGGTACATGCCCTTATCACAAGATTCATGGCTTTTTTGGGGAAATTCCTATGAGTTCCCTCAAAAGGAAGAACCGTGACCAAATTCCCAGTACCCAACGTGGTGTTTCAAGCATGGAGTAAGCATTGAGAAACATTAAATTAAATACTTAGAATCTGTAGGCTTTAATGAAATAGGTAGGACACAGCCTCAGCCCTCAAGATGATGGCTTCTCCTGGGAGAACCTCTGTTTTATTCCTTAGTAGATATTGTGTTCATTTATCTACCAAACAAACTTGACAAGTTTGTTTCTGTGTCCATTGAAAGGGAGAGTCAAAAAGATTTAAATTGAGCTCGCTTTTGCTGAGCATCTGAAGACTGCATGTATTTATCTCATTAAATCATCACGACATCTTTATGAGATAAAAGGTATGATCCCTGCTGTAAAGGTGGGGGAACTGAGGTTTAGAGAGACAGCTCAGGGATGGTAAGTTGGAGAGCCTGGAGTGAAACTCAAGTCCTTGACTCAGCAAGTACTCTTTCTACTTACGCTACAACCCAGAAAATGTGTTCGTGCCTGACACTGTGTTTCAGGGATAATTGACTTGACATTAGTGCAACAGTATTTAGATAAAACTCACTTTGTAAAAGTCAGTCTTTCCTTCCTCAAATTTCACTGGCAGGGAACAGACAATTGTGATGCTGGGTGGAAATTGTGTGGTAGGTATAAATCCAGACAAAGGGGGGCAGCCTGGCTGGGATGAAGGGGCCACAGAAGAATTGTCTGGGACGGTGATAACACAGGTACATTCTGAAGGATGAGTGGCCAGATCCAAGGGGTTTGGGGGAGTGGAGGAGTAAAGACTTTAGGTAGAGAGAGCAGCGTAAGTAAGGCCACAGGATGTGGGCATCTTGTGATTGATGTTGTGATTGTTACTGTGTTCATGTACTAGTTCAGGCATTCTGCTTGTGCCTGTGTCCTTGTGAAACTTTTCTCTACAAAATAAATGAAACGTTTTTCTACAAAGTAAAAGAAAAAGCTCTTTAAACGTGGATGTTTTTCTTCCCTTCTCTCTCCTTTTAGGCCCGAAATGCGGAAAAGGCCATGTACGTATCAACTCAGTTTCGTCTGTAAATTTGTTTGGTCTTTTGATAAAGCTTTCTTTCTCTACCTGTGCTGAAATAGTATTCATGTAGTATTTGCCCACGTTTGTTTTCCCCATAGTGTTTTCTGACAGCTCCCGGAACTTATTCTGGATGAACATTCGCTCACCTGGGGTGGTGCAGGGGTTGTTAGAGTGACAGCCCATAATATTAGTCTTTTTAACATCTGGATGTGTTGCTCACCACAGTGGCCTGATGAGTAGAGTTTCCCACAGTCCAGTCCTTACACACCGTATGGGTGAAAGGAACACAAATCCTTATAAGCCCTACTTTTTGGAACATGGAAACCCATAACTCCTCTGTGGTTTCTTGATTGCAATATGTATATATGTTTATGAGTGACGGATGGCATTCAATGCGGTCATGAGCAGACTTACCCATCCAGGAACTTGGATGATAAGAGATCTCTGAGCAGGATCTAACGGTGTCTTCTCTGTTCCCGGTAGGACGGCCTTAGCAAGATTTCGCCAAGCTCAGCTGGAAGAGGGAAAAGTAAAGGTTGGTTTAAATCTTCCTCATGAATTTTTAAATCATTAAGAAGTGCAGTAAAACTCCCTCCCGAGCAGACTTCAGACCCCAGATCTTCCTCTTTCTTGTCCATGCTTTCCTGTGTCTTATGAGTCTGTACACTTGAATCCCAGGCAGCCGGGGCAGTGTGATGATCTGACTGCTTGTGCTTCTGTCTGCCCTGTAATATGATGATTATCCCATGTTATCCCAGCCCTGTCTGATCCTGAATAGTACAAAGTGGGGTGTGCTGTGAGGAGCAGCTCTAACCTGAAACCAGTAATGACCTTAGCTCATGGAGACTCAGCCAGGTTAGGGGTGATATGTACTGCTGTTTGGATATTTTTGTTTTGTTTTTGAAAGTTATACACACACCCGCACACACACCTGTACACACACAGACATGCATGTATGTTTATGTTTGTCTGAACACTGAGAGCTGTCATTTCCTAAGGTGGTATAAATATTCCATGAAATGGGTATCTTCGCCATCTCCCTGTAACAACTGACCCTGAACAACACGGGTTTGAACTGCATTGCTTCACTCATACACGGATTTTTTCAATGGTAAATGCTACAGAGCTACACGGTTTGTGCTTGGTTGAATCTGTGGGTGCGGAGGAAACACGGATACGGAAGCCTGACTGTAAGTTATACTTGGGTTAACCCCCATGTTGCTCAAGGGTCAAGTGTACTGGACTTTTATGTTGTTTCCGGTGGCAGCCTGTACCATGTGCAATGCAGTGAGTGTTTTTGCCTGTGTAGTTCTTTCCTGAGGAGAGGCTGCAGCATGAGCCATAAGGCTTGAAGAAGAGCACCTGCAGCTGAAGCTGCAGATGTCTTCAGCCTGTTAGACATTTCAGCCTTCAGGCCTGAGTCAATCGTGAATGTTGCACAGAGCTTGTAATTTCATACAGTACAGCGGCAGCATGTGTTTTGGTTTTTCTTAGGAGCGAAGACCCTTCCTTGCCTCGGAGTGTACTGAGCTGCCCAAAGCCGAGAAGTGGAGACGCCAGGTACGTGCTGGGTGAATCTGATCTTACAGGAGAGCAGGTCTCTGATGGCTTTTGTACCTACATGACTCTTCAGCCAGAATTCTAAGAATTTTTAATTACTCATTTTGAATTACATATTTCTTATGCTTTCAGACTTACTCAAAAGTCATAAAAATATTTTTGAATTATATATTTCTTATGCTTTCAGACTTACTCAAAAGTCATAAAAATATATTGCCTTTGATTTTTTTCACAGATCATTGGAGAGATCTCAAAAAAAGTGGCTCAAATTCAGAATGGTAAGCTAGCTTGTCTGTTTAAAGTGCTCGATTCTCAAATCCACAATTAGCCTTGGGGACGTCAGCCTCCTCTCTCAATAATCAATAGAACAAGTAGGTACAAAATGAGTAAGAACATAGAAGAACCGAACAATACTATCGATCAGTTTGACCTAGTTGACCTTTATGGAACACTCCACCTCACAGAAAAGAGTACATTTTCTTTTTTTTAAGAGCAAATGGAATATTCACCAAAATAAAGCATATTTTAGGTTATAATATGAATGTTAGCAAACTTCAAATAATTAAAATTTTGCAGAGTGTGTTCACTGATTATAACACAGTTAACACAGAAATCGATAACAAAAAGATATCTGGAAAATTCCTGACTATTTAGAAATTAAACACACTTCTGAACAACCCATGTATGTAAGAGGAAACCTCAAGGAGATTAGAAAATATTTTGAATTGAATGAGAATGAAAACATAATGTCAGAATTCAGGGGACAAAAAAATTTATGGCATGCAGGTAAAGCAGTGTTTAGGTGAAAATTTATAGCATTAAAATAAAAGAAAATAAGAAAGGTCTCAAGTCAGTGATCTAAGCCTCTACCCTAAGAAACTAAAAAGGAAGAGCAAATTAATTCCAAAGTAAGCAGAAGGAAGGAAATAATAAAGAGAAGAAATCAGTGAAATTGAAAACAAGATGAATAGAGAAAATAGAACAAAAGCGGGTTCTTTAAAAAGATCAGGACTTACCTGGTGGCGCAATGGTTAAGAGTCCGCCGGCCAATGCAGGGGCCCATGTGCCACACGCAGCAGCAACGGAGACCCAGCGTAGCCAAAAATAAATAAATAAATAAAATTTAAAAAATAAAAAGATCAGTAAAATCGAAAAACTTCCAGTCAGTCAGACTGATCAAGAAAAAATGAAGACACATGGGACTTCCCTGGTGGTCCAGCGGTATAGAGTCCGCCTTCCAATGCAGGGGGCACAGGTTCAATCCCTGGTCGGGGAACCAAAATCCCGCATGCCGCCGGGCAACTAAGCCCGTGTGCCACAACTAGAGAGCCTGTGTGCCACAAACTACAGAGCCCATGCTCCCTGGAGCCTGCACTCTACAACTAGAGAGAGAAAGCCCGCATGCTGCAACAAGAGAGAACTCCGCACACCGCAAAGAAGAGCACACACGCCGCGACAAGCGCCGCGATGAAAGCCCGCGTGCAGTAACAAAGACCCAATGCAGGCAAAAATAAAAACCAAAACCAAGAAAAACACGTCAGCTAAGTGGGAATTGAAGGGAACTTTTTTTTTTTTCCTGATAAGGCACTTCTACCAAAAAACCTATAGCCAGCTATAGGTTGAATGCTTTCCTCCTAAGATCAGGAACAAGGTGGAGATATCCATTCTCACCGCTTCTATTCAGTATTGTACTGGAATTCCTTTCCAGAACAATAAAGCAAGAAAAGGAAATAAAAGGCCCAAAGACTGGAAGGGAAGAAAAATGCTCTATTCTGAGGTGACATAATTTTCTGTGTAGAAAATCCCAAGGAACCTACAGAAAGATTTCTAAAATGAATAAATGAGTTTAGCAAGATCACAGAATAGAAAGTCAATACACAAAAATCAGTTCTGTTTCTATGTACTAGAAGTGAACACTTGGAACTAGAACTTTTATTAAAGTTTTATTTACAGAAGTATCAAAACACAAGAAATACTTAGGTATAAATCTAAGAAAATATATGTATGATCTGTATGCTGAAAACTATAAAACAGTGATGGAAGAGTCAAAGAACCAGTCAAATGGAGACATAGACAGTGTTTGTGGATGGGAAGACTCAATATAGGCAAGGTGTCGATTGTTTTTCTTTTCAAAGACTATCACAGTCAAAATCCCAGTAGTGGTTTTTGGTTTTATGTTGACGAACTGTTTCTAAAATTTAAATGGAAAGGCAAAGGAACTAGAATAGCCAAAACCGTTTTGAAAAAGAAAAAAATTGGGAGTATTCTTAACACCTAATTTCATGATTTAATGTAAAGCTAAAGGTATTCGAGACAATTGGGTATTGGTGAAAGATAGACACACAGACCAGTTGAACAGAGTAAGAAGTCCAGAAATAGGGGCACACGTATGTGGTCAGTTGACTTGACAAAGGTACAAAAGCAATTCAGTGGAGAAAGGAAGGGCTTCTCCCTTGGAATAGCCCCAACTGCTCCCGGCTCCCAGCCGCCAGCGACAACACCTCAGCAAACTCCCTGTTGTCATCCCTTTAAATCCGTCCCTCAGGGACTTCCCTGGCGGCCCAGTGGTTAAGAACCCGCGCTTCCACTGCAGGGGGCACGGGTTCGATCCCTGGTCGGGGAAGTAAGATACGGCGTGCTGCGCAGTGCGGCCAAAAAATAAATAAGTAACAAAGACTGTAAATCTGTCCCTTAGGCTCAGTTCTCAGGGCCTAGCCTTTGTCAAAGATGTTCCCACTTAACAAGGTGGGAACAAGTCCTTTCCTGAAAGGACTAGACCAGCACAGACTGCCGCCAGCCCTGATGCTGACGCTGCCTCACTGCATCTTGGCTGACATTGACTGGACGCTGTGTCCCCACCTCTAAGAGTTTACTGTTTCAGTGGTGATATAAATGGAGCTGCAGGATTGCTTCAGTTGGTATTTCTGTGGTTGCTAATGAGGATGAAGTTTTTTCCCCCCCAGCGCTGCTGAAACTCTGTGCATGATTGTTGCCCTTCCACGATTTCGTTGTGGGTGGGTTTTCTTATAAATTGAAATAGTATCTTTGTGTTACGCACCTTTTTAGGTGTTGACATTCACTCTTAAGGCTATGACATCGAGTGGTATTTTCAAGAAACGATAGGACATTTTTGTTTTCTAGCTGGTCTAGGTGAATTCCGAATTCGTGACCTGAATGATGAAATTAACAAGCTGCTAAGAGAGAAGGGACACTGGGAGGCCCGGATCAAGGAGCTGGGTGGTCCTGACTATGGGGTAAGCAAGCCGCAGCCCTGGGGGCTGAGCTCGGGTGCTGTCTGCCTGCAGGGTGCCTCCTGCTGCCCCCGCAGCCCTGCCACAGAGTAGGCACTGGAGAGATGAAAGGAGGCTTGAAAGTGCCTGTTGCGCGTGGGCAGGAAATGTGAAAGCACGGACACTTAAAGGTGCACAGCGCAGGCCTCAGGACGTGTACTGGCCAGGTGTTCCAGAGTGAGCCACTCAGGCTCCCTGGGCCTCTTGTTTGAAATGACCTTGGCCCCTCACAGCCTTCTCTGAACTCCTTGAGAATTGGGACAACCATTCCATTGTTGGCTTCTGTACTCGAGGAGGCCCTGGGGACATGGCTGTGTTTCCTTTCTCTGGATTCTTTAAATGCAGTATTCTAGAACAGTGACTTTCAAGCTTTTAGGCCCAGGACCCACTATAAAATACACAGACACACACACACACACACACACACACACTCACTCACTCACTATATCACAACACAGTACTGAAAAAATACTTGGTATATGTTGCTGCACTTTGATATTTTCTATTCTGTTCTTTTTTTTTTTTTTCTGTTCTATCTTGATTTTTTAAAAATTGATGGGGGCTTTCCTGGTGGCGCAGTGGTTGGGAGTCCCCCTGCCGATGCAGGGGACGTGGGTTCGCGCCCCGGTCGGGGAGGATCCCACATGCCGCGGAGCGGCTGGGTCCGTGAGCCATGGCCGCTGAGCCTGCGCGTCCGGAGCCTGTGCTACGACCCGCCAGTGGGTGTCAACTTTGAAAAATGCTGCCCCGGGCCCTGCCCCATTTACCCAGGTCATTTGAACCAGTAGTATGTAGTCAGTGGACTGCAGTATGTTATGTAAGAAATATGTGCAGTTTTTCTATGTATTTAATGCAAAACCACAGTTCTCGCGTTAGTACCTGGCCTAAAAATGAGGCATTTATTCTTGTTGCAGAAGGAAAGGCACTTCCACTCCTGGAGTACCTGTGCTAGGAACGTTCTCACTGCATCTTCAGTAGTTCTGTGACGGTGATTTTGCTCCCTGTCAGACTGCTTTAGTGCAGGGGTTTATTACCCTTCCTGGAAGGGTTACAGAATTAATATGTACAATATTCTTAAGTTCCACCACCCAGAGTCAACAGTAATGTTTTTATGTATTTCCTTCTAGAGTCTTTTTTAAAAAAATTTATTTATTTTTATTTGTTGGCTGCGGTGGGTCTTCGTTGCTGTGCGTGAGCTTTCTCTAGTTGCGGTGAGCGGGGGCTACTCTTCATTGCAGTGCGCGGGCCTCTCCTTGCCGTGGCTTCTCTTGTTTCGGAGCATGGGCTCTAGGCGCGTGGGCTTCAGTAGTTGTGGTTCGCAGGCTCTAGAACACAGGCTCAGTAGTTGTGGCACATGGGCTTAGTTGCTCCGTGGCATGTGGGATCTTCCCGGACCGGGGCTCGAACCCGTGTTCCCTGCATTGGCAGGCGGATTCTTAACCACTGCGCCACCAGGGAAGCCCTAG